ACAGTTTATTGTATTATTGTCACCCTCCATCCATCCTTCCCCTGCACTTATTGACCAAGTAATCACTCTACTTCAAGCGCCCACTGAGGCAAACACATCAAGACAGCCGAAAAACAATATGCATTTAGCGTGTTAATCACGGCAATTAGTGGAACATGGAACAAAGGACAAAAGGGGTGTAAGGGGGTATATAATCCGCCGTTTATAATTAAATTATATATATATATATAAAGGAAGTTTGTATTGGAGTTTCAATAATAGGAGATTCAATTTTTAAATTGTATTTGTATTGTATATTTTTCCCTTTTGCGTTTTTATTTATCGAATTTGTACTACTATGAATTCTTATAAATATATATCTATATATATTATATATATATATATATAATTGTAATTCAAAATCATAATCGTATTAATATATCAATTAAAAATTACAGTGTTGTGTGTAAGTGAAAGTCTGAACTGCAACTGTGAGCAAAAATTCCTTGTATGTTGAGGGTTGGGGATTAAAATACAGGAATCAGAAATATCATACTTTTATCTTAAATATTCAGCATTGTATAAAAGAAAAATTTAAGAATAATTTAACTAATATGTGCGCTTAACATTAAATAAAAATGCAAATATTTTTATTATTCAAACATACAAATTAGTTACTTCATAGCTATCCCTACTTTAGTTTTTTCTATACTAATTACTCATTTTTTTCTTCCAGGATTTTGAAAGATTTCAGAGAAGACGTCTGAATATGTTTCTTCTGCTTCAATAAAACGTGTTTGCAGAGATAAAAGGAAAATTCTAAAATATGCTGAAATTGTTATTCTATATCATGTTAGTCAAAGTTTCAAAATTATTTTCTCTTTTGCAATTGTTTCCAAAATATGTAACAATAAAATACTCTAATGTTGGCCTAAAATGTTTCCTTTAATTTTATTACTATGGATATACAACAGAACATCGATTTATTACTTTCGCAACGATTGTTTTCCCTAAAGCAACGTTAGTGGTACTTTGGTTTCGAATTATGCTTGATATAATCTACAATATTTAAAAACAATATCTTTCGTGCACTTATCGTTTTGCTGTATTAATCTTTTGTAAATCATGTTCCTAAGCAAGCATTTCCCTCCCTGATGATTTGAAAAATTAAACAAAAATTGAGCCATAGTACGTATTAATTAAATTGAATGAGAGATACGCCAGTATACGTTTTTAAATGAGGCGAAACAGCAACTTTAATTTAAAGTAAGTTTTCAACAAAACGTCATCCGTCAGATACAGATCCCTAATTTTCAGGAAACAAAAAACTGCAAAATTATTCAAAGAGATCACAGATTTCATCAACATACTTTTACGAAAACATGAAACACGGAGATACCAGAATTATAAAAGCCTTAGATAGAAAAGATTTCGAATTAATCTTTAACTGTAGAAGATAAATAGTTGTGGATTTGAAAAGTTTTAGAGAAATTCAAGAGGAATCTTATAGATAATTTTCGCAGATCGAAAACGGAAATTTTGCCAACTTTCCAAATAGGATTATCTACTGAATGTTTGTTTATTTTTCCCGAAAATCGGCGATAAATTTGACTGTGTTGTGCTTCTATGAAAGAATCTGCTTCTATTCTTTGAATAACAAAGGCACATTCAATCAGTCGTTTAAGACACACAAAAACCAAAATAATAGCATGTTCCATGTGGAATTTGCAGCCGTTTCAGAGGCACGAAGAAAATAATATTGTGTCGACATAATGTACTTATTATATTCCTAATTTCAGTACAACGCAAGCTATGAATTTGATAAACTTGTTGGCATTGCATCTGAATCTAAATATAATTTAAGAAATATTTTACATTAAAGTACCATGCCTTTCATCAAAATGACGTCCCCAGCATATTTACTTCCATTTACGTAACCTGCACCAAAAAGTGTGTTTTATTTAATATAGTATGTGCTCTATTTACATTATTACGGCACTTATGAAAATTTAATGCATATGTATTATTCGTTTTCGACTCTTCCCTCCTTCTGTCCAAACTTTTTCTAACCTCAATATCGGAAAATAAATTTTCGATGTGACATAATTTATTCTTGAAAATTCGCAAAAGGAAATTTATTGAAAATTCGCACGATTTTCTCTGCTTTTCGACTGTATACAAACAATTACAATAAACTTGCTTAATATCTTCTCTTAGCTTGGATACGGCTGAAAGATATATGAAATTAGTTTTCAAAGGTTTTGTTATAAATAATAAGGAGAACTTGATTTCTAAATAAAATATCAAATTTAAGTAGTCTAAATATAAAATAGGCAAGAGGTGAATAGGCAAGCGTCTTTCTCCAAAATATTATTATAAGTGCATTTAAGGAAATATCCATCTAAATACAAATAATAAATTTTCTTATAACAACGTATTTTGAATGAATAATATTAATCCATTTACAAGGAATAATTATAGTGTCTGAGAAAAAATTTCTAGAAATATTTTTTTAAATGAACTGAATATTTTTTTTTGTCTTTTTTCTAGAAATTAAAGCCAAAAGGAAATTAGAATTAGAATTTAATATAGAAAGTAAAGCAAAAAAATTATGAATTATTAAATCTCAAAGTAGAAAGCATTTCTGTATTCATTGAAAAATAGTACATTGAATTTAAAAAATTCACATTCATTTAAGCTCAAATTCGTACATTTACATAAAATAATATGTCTTTTAACACAGTTTTATTTCCTTGGTCTCAAGGAATGAAATCCTCCTAAAATATGAGGAAAAAGGTTTCATTTTGAAAGAATAGTGTATTAAGAGATATGTGAAGAAACTTTCTAATGTTATTTTAGTTTGCGTGTGGACACTTTCTGAATTCAGTTTATCATATATTTTTCAGCACAACATGGGCAAGGTGGGGCACTTGGTGGCACTAATCTCATTTCAACGGCTAAGTCAGTATTTTAGAAATACGTATAAAAAATATAAATTTTGATTGTTAACCTTCTAGTTTGAATTTCATCGTGATACACCGTCTTGAAATAGCACATTTACAGCGAGGATAAATATAATTAAAAGAATGTTGTTATAATAAACTTTTATTTAAAAGGATAATTAATGCACTAAAAGGAGAAAAATAATTTATCATATGCTTTAGTGGAAAAAAATAGATTAAATAACTCTGTTTAAACAATTCATTTACAATTTTATGCCGCGAATAATAAAAGCACGAAGCTTTACATATTTCAGAGCGTTTACTGCACAAATTGAACTCTACAGGTGTTATTACCCTCCTACCAGCATGCCTTCGTGGTATAACGGTAGTGGTCTCGTCTCGTATTGAAGAGGTCCAGGTTCGAGGCTACCGGTAAGGGCATTGCTCATTTTTCATGTCTCCTGATGACTCCGGAAGCTACATGATGAGAGATAACTGATTTAAATAGACATTACATATTCTCAATAAAGAGCTGCAAGAAAAGGATTAAACTGGCATTTCATGCATGTATTAATTTTACTTTTTGGCAATTAAGGCTTTTAGTTAAATCTTTTCTTCATAAGCTCCACAGCCTGTTACAGGTCAAGGTCTCGCCGAGTTTCCTCCACCTGACCCCATTCGGCGCAATAGCCTTCCATCGGTTAACTCCAATTAACCTTAAATCTTGCTCGACATCATCTATCCATCTAGCGGGTGCTCTTCGACATCATCTATCCATCTAGTGGATGGTGATCTAGTGGGTCTCAATTCTCGAAAATGTTATATTTTTTGGTTTGAAATGCGTAATCATATCTAAACACATGGCCCAGCCATCTGATACGAGATGCCTTTACGATTCTCACAATATAATTTTCACCATATTTCCAATATTTTCCATATAGTTCACGATTGTTAAATCTTTTGCTTAAAGTTAAATTGCAAATAACTGAGACACAATTTAAATAAAATCTCATTTAAATATCTCAACAATATACAAGATTAATTGCCTTATTAAGAGAAAAATTGGAAGTCTGTAATAAATATAATGATACGGAGTCCGATTTTAACTCTAGAACCGCGGCAGTTTCGGTAAACCTAAAACCGCGGGGTGGGTCAAATTGAGCCCAATTAAAGAAAACCCGTCTTGTTATGCTAAAAGTACGCTGTAATTATTTGGGAATGACATTTATTCATTATTAACATTAAATTGTTATAATAAGTGATAAAAAATAAGATATTACAATATGGAATATTGTATACAGTTAGTAAAATATACAGAGGACTTTAATAGAAATATTTAGTTTCTTACCAGTCAAGATTTCCTACACAGTTAATTCACATTTTGGGCAACTTCTTTCTATATATTTTGTACACTTTCCACATATCAGTATTTTACAGTCAGAACAAGTATCTACAGTTTTGTTTCTACACTTGAAAGCTAGGCAATGAACCCTTTTTCGCATCTGCGCAGATTCTTCAGTCGTATCCGATTTTGTCTGTGTATCTGAGTTGTACGTTTAGTGAATATACGCACTACGCAACTCTTCAGTGAGTTGTTGAAAATATTCTCTCCTCGTAAGTTTTTTCCAGTAACTTCTTTGTATAAAATCCATCAATTAATCCCTGTAAGATCAAGAATATTGTAGAATACATGAACTGGCCACCTCCTTGATCCTGCCTTCACAGAATATTTCCGAGCCATTTTGGTCGGCAATGTCGACATTAAATTTTGTTGAGTTATAAAATGCTATTATTTCTGGAAGATTTTTTAGGTGATTATTGTCGATATCAACTGTAAGAAGAGAACTCAATAATAAAGCATTTTTGCTGGTTTTTCCCTAATAAACTGTCAAAATTATATCATCATCAGGTACTTCTTTCCGATTTCGTTTCATCGTTCCAGTTAAACTAGTGTTCTTTGTTTTTAACATTTGGGACAGATTTAGTGTAGTGAAAAAATTATCTGTAGTGATATTTCTTCCTTTATTTTCGAAAGGTTCTATCAAACGCAAAACGACGTATTCGGAAAGAGATAGGTTTTCAGAAAGTTACCTCATCTTTACCCAAATATGGAAAACCATTGAGGACGTATTTACTATCAACATCAGCCGCAAGACAGAACTTGATACCAAATTTATCTGGTTTACTTGGCATATATTGCGTGAAACGACATCTGGCTTTAGACAGAAACAGCTGCTCATCAATAGTTATATATGGTTCTGATTTATAGCAAGTTATCGAATTTTCAATAAATTTCTTCCAGACTTCAGCAATGAAACAGAATTTATCTGTTTGAAGGCGTTCATATCGTGTAGGTTTTTTTTTGTCGAATCGCAGAAATTTTATAAGTTCTCTAAATCTATCTCTCGCCATAGTATCGCGGAAAAAGGGTGGACCCTCAAGCAACAGACCACAGACTATCAAATTTTAGATTATTTGTACCGTATATACCTCGAGCATACAAAATTGATATAAAAGCATCTAGTTCGTCTAAAGTTGCAGAACATTCATTTTTTCCCAGTTGCCGGTGAGCTCTTCCTCTGTACAATTTTTGATATGACGGAACATAGGCTCATCTATAAGCAGCCTTCATGAACTAATTGCATAGCTATTTTCAATATTTCACTTTGCATAACTAGTTGGGACACTCTTTTCTTTGAAAACATTATGTTCAGCAATTCCTCCACGCATACAACTTCCAGTGGTGATGCTTTCTCAACACGTTCCATCATTTGTAACAAAAGTTCCAGAGTTCATTTCATCTGGATTTGAATCTGATAACGTTTTACGTTTATTTACACATTGTTCTTTCTTCTCAGAAGTGTTTTTTCTTCTAATACATTGTACAGGAAAATTAGATACGTTATCTTAATCCGAAGAAATATTTTCTTCATCTGGAGGCACATAGTCATCATCGCTGAAACAATTTCTTCATCATTATCGTTTGCGATAGTTATCTCATATATTCGAGGGCCTCACTAACTATTAATTTACGCATATTTCTTCCAGCCATTTGCACCTAAGATCAATTTTATTTCCGTGTGTAAACAAGGTGGCAAAAATCGAACAGACTGGTACACTCAAACTATATCCAAGGCAATGCGAACAACCAGTTGTGCAGTCATAAAGAACCAGATGTGCGCCATTAGACTACCGCATTGGCTATAATAGTACTGCTCCACATTCCATTCAATAGGCCAAAACAGAAAACAACCGAGAGAAAACATTCCTTGAATACGCTAACCATAGGCATTTTTCCAATACGGAATGATAACGGGAGAGGATGGGGGTATGCAATACTAGCTACTACTACTACAACAAAATTCTAAGTTGCTCTTCTGTTATCAGTAACAATCTACTCATCTTGAAGTATTGTTCTACTTACATCCATCTGAGAAATGGAAAGAGGACTGAAAAAGCTTTTCCCATACCAGGAAACGTTGAATAGCAAAATTTTCGTAATTAAAAATTTAGTACTTGTGATTATAATTGGCTCAAAATAACCCATTCCGCAGTTTTAGGTATAATTATTAAAAACAAAAAAATGATAAGTATTTAACGTATCATATTGTCGCGTAGATGAGGGGATCCTAGAAATGAACAGGCAAGTACAAGTCTAAACTCAAGACTTTTTATTAACTTGAACTGAATATCTGGAATGTTCTGGAAGAATAAGAAAGAAATTTACATAAATAATATAACATTAACAAGAAGGAAATTTACATAAAAAATAATTATCAGGCATCTTGCTGTTGATGGGTTTCGAGCCCTGCGTTACTTACAGTTTAAATTAGTTACAGATGGAAAATTAGCAAGATGAATTTGAATTTTTTTTCATTTTGTTATTAGTTTTGTTTAATTATGTATGTTCTGAAGAATACTATTAAGGGAAATTTGAAATTATGCTAAAACATAGTTTGTTGTTTTAAATTTTGTTAAAACATATCTGACCCCCAACTGCTTTCAGGGCTTACATATGGCTCTCATGTAATCTGAGCCTGTCTTTTATAAGCCATTCAAATCTTTAGAGGCTTAACCAAAACGTCTATACATTAAAACAATTGAAACTTTGGAAATATTAGATTTATTTAATCAGAAGCACATTCTTTTAAAAAAGAATATAAATGTGGGAAATTCGCTGAGCATGAAGTACTGATATAATGTTTTAGAGGTTCTGAGTGCCACAATTTCATTTTTTCTGAACAGAACTTAGAATACCATGTTAATCCTTCATGTTATAAGGTATTACTCCCGCCTTCCTAGCGTGCCATCGTGATGTAGTGGTCAGCACACTGAGCCGGTATTTTAGAGGTCCGTGATGCGATTCCCGACGAAGGAGGTTGCTAATTTTTCATCTCTCCGGCTTTTCCAGTTAACTTAATGTCTCTACAGTGGCGCCCGAACTAAAAGGGTGCTGGATGACGATTCTCCTCACCCTAGATTTGGCGATTGGGTCCCCTAAAAACCCCAGTAGATCTTTAAAAGGGGGAGTATATAAGGTATTTCTGCCTGGTCCCTAGCGTGCCTTCGGGGTGTAGAGGTCAGCACGCTGAGCCGGTACTTCAGAGGTCCGTGGTTCGATTCCGGTGAAGTATAGGATGTTCTTTAAATCTTCAACGAAATAGAGGAGAATAGTACCCATCAAGAAGAATAAAAGTGTCGTATTCCTCTAAGAGTGTAAGAAAAGGTAATTTTGAAAGATGTCCAACAAGAATAAGTCATTATACCTAGCACCATATCTCTTCTTCTAGAGAAGCAGCTCATCTCGAAATTATCGCCATCAGGCATTTGATATATGGAAGTTCTACTAAGAAGAAACACGTTTGCCAGTTGTGTCTGATAGTCTCAACACGGTTCTATACAAAACCAGTCGATGTTATTTCTTAAAAGACACATATCCATATTACCGTAACAAACTGGCCTAAAGAACTCCATTACAGTCATGTATTTATACATACGCGTAATTAGCATGTGTTTTCTTGGTCGAAAGTTCCAGCTGGACATTCACTTTGTTCGCATTTTGCTGACAGTATGAATCGAAAGAGTGTCTAGACTCCAGGTATAAATATACCTTGGTTTAATGGGAACCATCCCCCCCCTCTTACTTTATTGCAATGATTTAAGGATAAGCTGTATAAATTCTGATAGCAGATACTGGCATATTGTATAATATTCCCACACAGCGCTTGTTTGAGTTCAAATACAGATGTTGAAGGTGGATAGTTATCTCCAGAATTATTCTTCAAAACATTTCACAAAACCTGTATGACATTAGAATCTAACAAATCAAGGGGGCCATGACCGAACTTCTAAAACCGACAGATAAACCGGATTCATTAAATACGCTAGTTGCAATGGGGTGTTCGTGTTTGTGTCTGTGTGTAATATGAATACGAGCCGTCCGTTGGTAAAGTGATGAGCTGATGATACATAAACAGAAACGTTTATGATGATGCCACTTGATGTAAATTGCCACTTAAAAGGAACCCGTTCTGCCACAACATTTCAGCTTTCCAATAAGTTTTTTTTTTTTTTTTTTTTTTAAATTTGAACCCACTATATTTTGAATAAATTCCAGTTACTTCAAAATGAAATAATTTTTACAAAATATGAAGTTCAGGTTAGGACTATACACAAAAAATCATGAGCACATCTTGTGGAGTATGATCTGAAAATTGTTTGGAAGTCAGCAGCTTCGAGTGATTTTCTTGTGTGGTAGCTAGAGTTAAAATATGCAAAGTCTAGATAGAATAAGCAATTGTTTACGACGGATTTCCCAATCAAGAACTGGCGATGAAAAATCTGGTGCTTATATATCAAGCTATAATTGCAACAAATTCTTTTCTCCCTCCTTATCGCGTATATTCCTGATATATTGGAAGCATGTCTGAGTAGTAAGCAAGACTCCCATAGTTCCATAGTTCCAATCAGGGGCGGGCTTGCAGTTTTTTTAAACTTTAATGTTACAAAAATTTCATAATCGCTCTGCAGGTGGTGTTAAAATAAAAATGTTTTGTACTAAAATTCTTCAGCACTTTGATTTGACTGTGTCACCCTTCTCCCCAATCTCTCCTATAATGAAGGACAATGTAACGAATTTACTCTCTCCTGACCTTATGCTTGAGATGTGTAACTGGAAGAGCGTCTGTTGAGCAACCAGGACTCCCGAATTTCAGTTTTTTTCGAAGGCATACCTTATGGTTTCTGTTTCGAAATAAACTTAATGATTCTGCCTAATTAGTATGGTACGAGTTTCTAGCGACCTAGCTTACTTGCCTAAGTTTATGATATTTAGAGAGATGTCTCGGTAGCTTTATCATTATTAGCGGAAATATTGTAATTTTCTCATTCCAAGTTATAAATATTTTTGTTTTTGTGAGTAACGGGATTACCTGTCTGAAACGTTGTCGAAAAAAGTATCTTTTTACAAATACTTTGGGCTCTATGCAACCTAATCTCGTTAGTTAAATACAGAAGTGTTACGGTTCCGATTAAAGGTTCATTTAATCTTTCGAAGAAGATCTTTTTTCGGTTGTTTAATTTAAGGTTGTACAAATAATATCAATCCCCGATTGGATCTTTGGAGTGAAAGATCATCTGAGGTGTTCTATTTGTTAGCTGTGTATGGTGGCTATTCCCCCCTCCACGAGTGTGCATTTCGAGTGTATTTGGTGATGTGCACTGAAACTACAGAAAGTAACGTTTAAGGGCATTTCAACAGATATTTACGCATACGAATGCGAATAGGGGATTTACGCTAAACAAGATGCTAAATCGAGAAAACGACATTTAATTTGAAAAAATACTTTATAAGTAGAATTTTAATGTTATTGTTAAGTTTTCTCGTTTATAGAAATTTGATATGAAATGCTTTTTTTTTTTTTTTTTTTTTTTTTGTTTATTTAAAAAATCGTTTACATTTTAAAAAGTTAATTTTCATTTTTAAAATGTTGAGTTTTCAAAAATATACACTGTTTTAAATATTTCTTAAAGTAAAAATAACAATTTTCGTATTTTAATTTCATTATGTTGAATGAATAAAATCTTTGTCGAGGAAACTATCAACATGTATAAATTACAATTTTACTTTCTTGTACGAAGCAAAGTATTTTAAAAGGGGACTGTATACCTTACAAACCGAGATTTTGGTCAAAAAAATAATTTTCTTTTTCTTACACTCGATGGAAGTCTTATGTTTCCAAAACTTTTGAATTTTGTTCCTGCGTTGATTTAAACCGAAGTTATGATACTTTATTTGACAGCTTGTCCTCGAAAAGCATACCAGAAGTGCACAAGACGTAAAGATTTAAAAGGCCGAAGTGGGTGTGTCAGAGTTGTTTACTTTTATTTTCGGGCTTAAAACTTTATATAAT